TTTTCCTATAACGAACCAAATCAATCATGACGCACCAAAAGGTGCAAACAGAATATCTTAGACCGGTTGAATATCCAATTATACCAACAATTCAAATTTGACACATCCTTTGAGAAAGTGAAGCGAAACACTTCCACCGGCGGATCCGGGGGTGGTGCATGACTCCGAAACAAGTGTCATTTAAAAATAATAAAAATTAAACAAGTAGACGAGTAAATACCACTGATTTTAAATCAATGCTTTTTTATCCCCTTTTCCTCTATGGATTTGCATAAGGAAGGATTAAAAGGGGAAGAGCGCCCCTTGCGTCCAATGATGCTTTTCGAATTTACAACGGCCGACTGGCATTTTTTTTCCAACCAAGTACAGTCAATGACTATAAATCGCATGCATTGTGTGAAATTATCATACAATATGGTGATTTAATAGATCACTTTTTCCGAGCCACTTCTCTAGTCTCTGTATCATCCGTTGTCCAACGGAGCCCTCTCTCCCTCCGGTGCAACGTCTGATTTTAAGTCTAAACATGCACATTTATGCGACCTCGCGCGCCAGCCAATCGGAGTCCACTTCACTAACTTTGTCACGCCATTTCCATCCGAAATGTGGACTAAGCTGTCGATGGGCACGACATTGACTCTCAAAACTGTTGCACAAAATGACACAACAATCATTGTGACACACTCTCCTTGATTGGCTCTGTGTGTAATTTCTGGTGCTCAGTCAGCTGAATAGCTACACAAAGCATTCAGCATTTCTTTGAAAGCTATCAAAATGACTTCATTTAGTAAAACATGTACCAACAATTTCAGTAATTCTTTTTGGAAGAGTTAAAGAACATGCCTGTTTAATACTTCCTTCATTTGTGTACCAAATTTAATTTCGATTTTTAAGGGGGAAAATAATCCAGGTCTCCTTCTTTTAATCACCTTGTACATGTATGTTGTCAGACAAAAAATGACAAACAAAACAGCAAGTGTCCACAATAACATCATACGTGCGTATCAGCAAAACAGCTAGTACACTCTCAAAAAGATATGTAAAAAATAATTAGGTCAAATTGTTATGTAAAATAATACACAATTTCGGTAAAATTCGCCGGAAAAAAGTACCTCGAAAACATGTGAATTGAAAAATACTTATTGAATAAGTAGAGCAGTCAGATTACTTTAATTATGTAAAAACGTACTGCAATTAGGTAAAACGTACTAAAAACGTACACGCGGTGACGCGATGCAGCTAGCACAGCACGGCATAAAGTGAAGATGGAGTCTACGTGACGTCTGTAACAAGGAGGGGATATGCCGCAGCTAATTTCGGTCTTTGAAGGAAACATTTTCTAAAGCTCTTGTGATTGTTATACCGTCACCGAGCCCCAGAAATGCCTAGACACTTTGTACAATAAAAACCCCAGGATATTCTTGATATTATAAAAATAATGTTATAATATTTTTAACCCAGTCCTGTAATTGGCGGGTTTTTCTGCTGTTGGATGTGGATAATAAATAAATAAATAACATAAATATTAGTAGTGTTTAACTCGGCCACTGCGCGTATTATACAACTCGTACGTGAACCAACCACTGATCTCTATATAAAGACTGGATAGCTAATAAAGAGCCGCACAATGTACGAATTTGACGCCATATTGGTGAGACCGGCTGGTGATCTACAAAGGACAAGTTGTCGTTTTTATAGACAGCATGATTTCTTTTGTAACGTCGCGGTTCACTTGACTTATATTTTGACCACCATCACTGACCAAGGTTAACTACAATTTTTCTAAGTCGTGGTTACTAAAATGCCGCAAATATAACTTTTTCGGCGTTTTGAAATAATAATCACTACGGAAATGTGTTCCTTTTAGAACATCATAATATGTGTACGTGACCAAAATGCGCGTCAACTGTTGATACAACGCGCGCGTACTACGCGTAGAACGTTCGTATTATACGCGGCCATCTTCGTGAGACCGGGGGCGAATTGGTCAATATGCAAAGTCTACTGTGTGAATGTTGTATGCATATCCGCTATCCAGTCTTTATATAGAGATCAGTGGAACCAACTCGTAGCGAGACAACTCGTACATGTCGTACGCGGGCCAACTCGTACGCCAGCCAACTTGTATGCCGGCCAAAATTAGCAAATTTGAAGAAATTGAACGATACATCGTTCCCAGTTCATAGCCAAGAATCGTCGACCACATATAATTTTGTATACGAGTTTAATTCTGTGTACGAGTTGGACCACGTACGAATTTGTCCACGTACTTCTTCATATATCATCTCATTGAAGGTCAGTCATTGCAAAAATGATGATAAGACATGAATCTGGGACTGAGAAACATTTCCAATTTTGTCAGAAAATACTTCGCAAATTTTCTAGACTCTACATAGACTTTGTATACAACCACTGAAGTGGCGTCAGGTTGCAACATTCTTTCCCGAGTTGTCCTGTGTACGAGTTGTTCGCGTATGAGTTGGTTCGCGTACGAGTTGACCTGTATTCGGACTATGTACATGTATACATTCATGCGTGCATACTCGCCGTGGCCGAGCTGTGGGCCATGGGTTATGCATCCTGTATTATATAACCGACATACAGATCCTTGTCATTTGATTGGTGGAACTCACATCACGTGGCATTCGTTATTGCTCCCATTCATGCCGCGGCTCAAAAAGTACTATCCGCCCATGGGGAATGGGAAATACTATTCAACAGTTAGGATCATGACGCAGTATTTGTGTGCAAATGCATGCTGGTGTGCGCGTTCAGCGTTGCGCGTAGCGCGTATTGTTCCAAAGAGCCAGCGCGACAGCGTTGGGTTCAAACATTTTCGTGAAGGGGTGGTTTGGAAGAGAGAAATACATTTTCCTGCAGTTTTGTATTGAAAAAAATTCAAATATATCAAATGACAAGGATCTATATGTCAGTTTTTTAAAACAAATATTGAGTGGCTTTTAATTGTGAAATGGGAGGAATATTATCGCTCGATAAAATCTGGACTTTTCCAGTTCACTCGGCTTCGCCTCGTGAAATGGAAAAGTCCAGATTTTACCTTGCGATAATATTCCTCCCATTCCACGCTGAGCCACTCAATATTTGTATATTATACCACACCTGAATAAATCTCCGTCATCTGATTAGTGGATCGTTGATCACATATCATTGAATTATTTGTACCAATGCACAGCGCGCGCGTGGCGCGCAGCGCACAGTGCAATGGAAGTACTATTGCACTGTGATTAGAAGTACCATTGCACTGTCACTGCACATGTTGCCGAAGGTGGCGCTGTGGTGTTTAAATTGGCAATAAAAAATTCTGGACTTATTGAACTGTTTAAGTTCTAAACTTATGGAAAAGTTTTAAATTGAGATAAATTGAATATGATAGTTCTCAACCTGTTGAACAGTTTGCATAAATTAAATATGATAACTCTGAACTTGTCAAACTTGTAAACAATTTTTAATTTGAATAAATTGGCTATTAAAAGTCAACCAATCAGATGATGAGGATTTATTCAGGTGTTATATAAAACAAAATAATGAATGTTTCACGTTCGTGCAATAGAAAGAATAATTTCATTCGGTGACAGATGAAATGTTCCATTCCACTCCATTCCACGCTGAGCCACTCAATATTTGTATATTATACCACACCTGAATAAATCTCCGTCATCTGATTAGTCATCTGATTAGTAGAAAGAATAATTTCATTCGGTGACAGATGAAATGTTCCATTCCACTCCATTCCACGCTGAGCCACTCATGAAATTATTCTTACCATTGCACTCACAAACATTCATTATTTGTATACTGTTGTATCTTATCTTGCAAAGTGTCCAAGAACTGCTATGGATTGGGGACGGTATGACAATCACAAAGAGCTTGAGGACAATGTTATCTTCAAAGACCTGTTGTCACAGACGTCATGGTTTCTCCAACTTATAGCTATATGCTGTGATATGCCGCACAGTTCGGGAAGGGAATAACTAAAATTAAAATGAAACAGGTCGTGTTTTGATGGGCTTCCATAGTTGTTTACGTTTAGAAAACACAATTTTACATGATAATATAGTATTGTTTCACCTGAAAGTAATGTAAAGTTTACTTAATTGTCTTTTACCTAATAAATGTGTAAATATATTTACACACACATCAAGTAAACTTTTACACAACTGTCAAGAAAACTTTTACCCAACACGCATTATGTAACTTTTTACGCAATTGCAAGCGAGTTCGTATAGTACATATAAAACATGGTTAAATTTTAAACAACTTGTGTAATTTTTTTTCTGAGTAATCCAAAACCAAATATATAAAGCGGCTTTATTGCCTTTGCTTTGACATCAAAGGGGCCCAGTCATCCGTGACTGGAGATGCAAAAAATGAATCACTAGAAAGCAAACAGACTACTCTTTACGTTTAAGATGGAGTCACTTTGATGTTGTAAACGTACATAAGTTTTACATATTAACCATTTGTTTTGAATTATCTTTTTTGCATACTGTCTGTGCCTATAACAGGAAGCTGGAGCGTAGTCATGTGACTACCAGTAATGCATAATTTTAACATGATTGCTATGACACACATGAAAAACAATCTTAGTGTCATCCGTGTGCATTAACTTCATTGGAAGTTCATATCTCTTGTGATAAAGACATTTACCAGTCGATAACTCCCAGACACGAATCAGTTTCTCATATCTTGCTTTCGTGACAAGTCTATTGCGGGGCATTTTGCTAGACCTTTTCACTCCCACCAGGTGCACGTTCAGTAGCGTGCCATCGCGACTCCAGAATACAATCTCGCTGCTAGTGACGGCAAAAATTACTTTTTCAGTGAACTGAAGCATGCGGATAATATAGTGACTTAATTGGGTTGCGGACAGTGTTTTCATGCAGACATCAGATGCAGTTGTCCACACTTTAATCTCACCAACATCATCACCAGTCATAATAGTGTTTTTATGAAGTTGGCTGCATAAAATACTGCCTTTGTGTCCTTTGTATATCCTTACCATTTTAGGCGTTGTCGTATCCCAAAGAAGGAATTCAGTATTCAGTTCTGTAGATGTGATAACAAAGTGTCCATGACAACCCATATAATGGGATACCCCTATTTCTCCAGTGTTGAGTATGGTTTCTGTACATGCACCATTTTCTCCACCCTTAACCAAATCACTGATATCCCAAATGTGTAAAGGGAGAAAGTCATGGTTCCACAGATAAGTGACTATGATTTTGTTGTCTTCAAAGTGTAAGTTAAATGGCAAATATCGATCAAAGTTAGTCGCATTTCCTTGTATCAGTTTCAAAACATTGCCTGAGCTGCCCTCAAATACCAGAATGCCTCCAATGAATACGGCAACTCCAATGTTATTTTTCAGAGCCATGTGGTTTATGGCAATGTCACTGTCGTCATGCGTGTCACTGTCGTCATGCAAAGGTCGTGGTAAACGGACTAATTTGGAGGGTTGAATCTTCCGAAGAAAACTTCCACTATTCAAATCCCAAAGTCGCACGCACCCAAGATCGTCACCAGCCGCGAATGTTCTGCCGTCGCTTGCTACACAACTTGTTTTCCTGTCACTTTGGTCTGACAATACGTGCAAGTGCTCCCGGTAACGCCCCTCTCACCAGTTCCTGTCCAGATGCCAAGCTCTCATGTACACCTCCTTCCATTCACAGGTTGGTGCAAGATCCTTCAAGTTACAGTCAACAGTAATGACCGAATCAGCCTGAAAGGTTGGACTGGTACCACTGGTGCTGGTCTCTGTAGAGTGGATTGGCTTCTCTTTGAGGAGATCTACTTCCGTACCAAAACGCTCCCAATCTCTCAGCTTACAAAGATGAAGCCACAGGCTGTTGGTGTTGGTAACGTTCCTCCATGCCTTGCTGCATACAGCCAGGTGACACAAGTCTTCTACTGACAGAAAACCAATTATCTTCCATAGAGTTTCATTTGGCAAGTTGTCGACAGGATCCAGAGAGCATGTCGATGGTTGAGAATGACAGACGACGTCGACGTCATTCGTATGTGTATCTCCTTGTGCTGAAGTCATTTTGAAAGATGAGGGAATCCTATAATGACACAGAGAAGAATTGAATTATGCAACAGTCAACATCACACAAGGTTTCAATATTCACGTCGGCAATCTATTCATCACACCAGTTAAATTTGTATCTGTATTTTCAAAGTATCGGGGGGACATTACACCAAGTGGTTTTTCAGTGTGAATCTTGTGTTTCATGAGATGAACCGAGGAGAGACCAGAGGTACCGGGGGAATAAACCTCATTCACATTCCGCGGCTATCTTGAAAATAGCGCCACCATGTGACTTAAGACATTAGAGGGGAACACATTACCCAATCGCGGTGTGAAACCTAACGGTGTATGGGGGTTCAAAAGTGGACATCTGCTTTTTTGCTTACAGCTAACAGCAGGAAAGCAAAGTGAACGTTTTGTTCAAATGAATTATTCTACTTTTCTGCTTTTCTTCTACCAGAAAAGCAGGGTATACTTTTTGTCTCTAACGCTTCTCTTTGATTAGAAATGCAGAAAACCAATTCCTGGCGAAGGGAACACCTTCCACGACCAAAGTCCTAGCCTTGTTGGAAAGAATTCCACACAAGGCCACCACTGAAAAGTACCAAAAGTTATAAATCTGATGAAGGAACACTATTTTAGGAGTGCAAAAATTCTTTGAAAATACTCCAACTTTTTCTGCCATGGCCCATAGACTTTGTGCAGGAGGTCTGAGTGGTGGCCTTGTATGGAATATTCTTTTTGGGTTGTCATCATAGGGGACGGGGTGGCTGTATGTTGCAAGTTGTAACTGCTCCCATTGGTTTTGCGGAAAAATTTGAAACGCCCTCGATTTGATTGTGAAACTCCGCAGGTGTGTACTCGACATGTCCCTCGACACACAACAGAAATTCAAAGATTTCAATTTCCCCCCAAATTGTCTTTGATGGATTAAAAACTGGTAAAACCTCATAACTTCTTTACCCACAAATTTGACAGTATCAGCGGATAAACCGGGGGGGGGGGGGGCGCGGGGGCACATGCCTCCCATCCCCGTAAAAATTGTCAACCTTCTCAAACTGGGAACGTGTTCAACATGGTTAACAGGCGTAACAATACTCGGCGATCTAGTATCTACGGGCCCGGTTCCTATAAAGGACCAAAATCTACTTGCAAATATTTACTTGACCTACCAAACTAGTTGGCGACATTAAGAACATGCAGGTATGTCATAGATAAAGGGCAGGATTTTGAATTTTTGAGGGAAATTTGGGGGTAAAATGACGACGACAACGACAAAACGCATCACGAAAATAAGACTGCGATGTACCGTTGAGCACGCAAGTCGCGCCACACGGCACTAACCGGCCGGTAAACTGCGTAGGGAAATCGGAATTTCTATCCCACGAAACTGTTCAAAAATTACCAAAAAGGTGTCATTACATTGAGAGTAGTCCCATAAATGTGACGGAAATACTGGACTACCTCCGTATTTAACGTCACACATCCCACATGTGCACGGATGGTCCCGTTGCTAGAGGCACCGAAAATTAATTAAAGATCGAAATTATTTTCTCAGCAGAAAATCAGCCAATCAGAATAGTATGACTGCTAACTAGCACAAAATCGTTAAATTCGGTACCTTCAGAGGTCTATAGTTATCCAAAAATCATGGTAATTCGTCAAAGAATTCAGACGGTTTTGAAAAAGCATGGCGTCTCTGATATTTACCAGACTGTTTCCCTTTTTATAGTAAAAAGGCCAATGGGGTCAGGGAACCAGACAAGAGCTTTAATCATCTACTGAGCGTGCGTCAACTTTGGCAAAGCGCACCGCGGCTGTTGCCTGTCATTCCAAAATCTTTGAAGCCCTCTGCAATGAAACGCGCCCTCTTGTGTGCGCTCTTCATCCGCGGCCGCGTATTGTATCCTTCGCTCGTACCCCCGCCCTGCAAACAGGACGCTGGGATACTCTGATGAATTCACGCTCTGATTGGCTGGATTTTGCGTGACCAGTGACCTGCGCGTCATCAAGGTCATGACTATGCAAGGTTTGAAACGGCCGTTAAGACTGATTCATTTCTCTTTTATTCCAGTTTAGAGATGTTTTTTTCTCGTTGCAAAGCGTAATAATGTGGGAAATTCTGTAAAACTTATCTGTGTTGTAAATTTACAATTCCCGTCACTTATTCAGGATCCGTTTTAAATCACGAACGGTCGGATTGCATTATGCGACGTTCAAAATTTTGTCCACATGGTCCGCAATGAAACAGAAATCACATCCGGTATGGAATGTGCGCATTTTTATGGGAAGTTTTCGGATAGTATTTGCGCACATTGTCCAACTGCGGTCTTGAACAGCTAGCTGCAGCCAGATGCTTTATACATAGGTCATAGGCCACTTCCTTCACAAGATTTTGTGAAGCTCATCAGAGTATCCCAGCGTCCTGTTTGCAGGGCGGGGGGTACGAGCAAAATTGTATCCGGGTTAGGTACTTCACGGAGCAACATCGTCCCCAGGGTGCCGAGCAGTACGCGCCCACCACTAGCTGCTCTCTCACCCTGGTATTGGATCATTTGCATGTGCAAGATTTTTGACCACGTATGCAAATGAGGAATAGTCTGGTGCCTGCCTGTGCGTTACATTGGCGTTTGTTTTTGTATGCGGTGTCTGGGGTAAAAACGGAATCAATTCGTCGCAGCGCGAGCCTGGCGTGAGTTACGAAAACACGATTTTATTTTAATTAAACTGTTACGATCTTATCGAGATAACATGCAGTATCGCATTTCATATTAAAATAAACAAATTGGAAAGGAAATGAATATTTTCTAGAAGGCATGGACGATTGATCGCGAAAACACGTACTACACGTTGTGAATAACAGCACCAAGTACACGATATAAATCCATTTCTAGGCAATTGCGGTATCGAATCAGGATACATTAAGAAAGTTTCCTACCGAGGGCTTACTATTGGAAACGATGTTGGAAATAAAGTAAGCACTGGGCACGAGAATGTTCACGGAGCGCCAAAGATTTGAATGTCAGTCAACAGCCGTGGTGCGCTTTGCCAAAGTTGACGCACGCTGATGATTAAAGCTCTTGTCTGGTTCCCTGACCCCATTTGCCTTTTTACTATATTTAGGGTGGCCGGGAAACAGTCTGGTAAATATCAGAGACGCCATGCTTTTTCAAAACCATCTGAATTCTTTGACGAATTACCATGATTTTTTGGATAACTTCACCTCTGAAGGTACCAAATTTAACGATTTTGTGCTATTTAGCAGTCATAGTAGCTGGGTTGATTTTCTGCTGACAAAATAATTTCGATCTTTAATTAATTTTTAACTTCCCTGGCAACGGGACCATCCGTGCACATACCACATGTGGGATGAGTGACGTTAAATACGGAGGTAGTCCAGTATTTCCGTCACATTTATGGGACTACATTGAGAGAAGTCTGCTTTAGGTTGACAATGTCATGTTCAGTAAAAAATACGTACATGGTATGGTATTCCATCCAAAACAGCAAAGAACCCGTTTGGATTATTTCAGTATTTTTGTATTTCACAGTACAAGGTTGAACTTGAAGCTTAAATAATAATGTTAAGCATTTTATAACGTTAGCCAGTCTGATTTAAACATAAATAGGCGTATTAACTGTTAGCAAGCTGGAAATAAATGATAAAATTGAACTCACCTTGGCAAACTTATTCCTTCTCATTAGTTTTTGAAATACAAATTCATTCTGTTGTCAGCCCCGTCCTTGTGAAATCACTTCCGCAATGTAAAGTCTAGTCACGAATTCAAAGACTTCAAAAATGAATACAAATGTACAACAGGATGCTGACTATAGTCCCATTGTCAACCAGGTGACTATTGAGGGCGATATACAGGCGTGACCTTGTGACTGTATACTTGGCATTAAATTGCTTTTAATCAGTTAAAGGGGCACTAGGTCCTAAAATCCACGAACATTTCATGTTTTGGATTGTTTAATTAGCCTATAGTCCAAACATCTGGTTGAAAGGAAACCAACTAAAATGTCTTACCGTTCCCGAGAAAAGACAAAAAAAAAACCGGTTGTTACATCGGACACGACGGAGTACGAATACGTGTTTCGTGTCATTCTCAGTGTACGATATACACGTTGTGTGTCTCGGGAACAGCTGTGACCAATCACCAATGCAAAAAATTATGGTTTCTTCAACATCCGCAAAAGGCGAACACTTTACGAATGAAATCACAACTAGCATCCAAACAGCTCGAATTTATGGGGTCGCAAAAGTGGACCCCGAAATTCGTTTTCGCACGCAAAATACAGGAATAACACAAAAACACCCATTTTTAAAGGATAGTTGTGTGGATGTTTTTATCCTACTTTTAAATGTTCTTTCCGATTAACATCATCTCGTTCAAAGCGCGTTTTGTAGCCCAATTGGGCTGTTCCAGGACCCATGTCCCTTTAATATGCATTCAACAATAAAGGAGTTATATAAAAGGATACTTTAAAATGTCTTATAAACTAAACAAAAAAGTGACAAATGTAAAAAATAAAAATAAATTAAAGGTAGAGTCCATCATTTGTAATTTGTGCATTTTGTTCGTTTGAAGCAACAAAAGAGTTCAAAATCTAATGAAGGATACTGAACAACTAACCTGATGAAGTTTCAGCTAAGCTTCAGCTGTACATTCCGAGAAAAACAGCATTCTAAGATCTCAATTTCAAATCAAAAGTTACTGAATCATGTTTTGAATTGTTTTGAATTGCAACTATACGCGACGTCGCGCACTGATCCGACGAATTATAACAACCGCGCGCGCGTGTGCGTCGTTCGAATGCTTGTGCGCGCTTCGCTGAATAACAAAACGAACTACTAATTTAAATTTTCCTACGGTGCTTCTTAAGAATCACCGTTGGAAATGCCTTCTTTCGTTGATTACTTCAAAATGACAGCTTCCCAGAAAGAATAATTTCACAGGGAGTTTAGTCTCCTTACTATCTTTCAACTAAGTTAGTTTTTCAACAATAATTACGCCAGTTACTTTTCGGATGGCTGCAAATGATGGACTCTACCTTTAACTCCTGTAAACTGCTTACTGACGTTAATTACCTGAAATATTCAAATTAAAACATTAAGAGAGCCTGACACATTGTGATCTTAAGATCTTTTCCCAACCAAAGTGTTTGTAAATTTGTGTAAAACTGTATTGTCTTCTTTTGTGTGTCGTGTACTAGACGTGATGTCAAGTCGTGATACAGTTGGGTTTTTTTCCATCGGCACTTTTTACGTTCCGATCGCGGCAGAATCGCGAAAATATCAACGCAGCTTGTGAAACAAAATCTGAGACAAGCAAAACTGGAGTGTACAAAAATTCCATAAGGTTGTCTAAGGGGCGTGGCTAACTCGCAAACGGTGATAAGGCGACCAAAACAGACGTTTCGTAAAAAATAAATAACAATACGATTAACTGTTTACCCTGCTGACGTCTTAAACTTGATCCGAAATACCTCTGTCTTAATCGATCAGCTAACTCAAACGCACTTGGTTGATTCGGAGAAGAAGACCAACTGCCATATTTTTTCTCTGAGCGTTAAAATATACGGAAGCGTTAAAGGGACATAATACAGACTAAAAAAACAAAAAGAAGTCCTAATTATGACTTATATGTCATAATTATGACTTATTATTAAGTCATTGTCACGACTTATATCTAATACCAATGACTTAGTATTAAGTCATAATTATGACTTATATCTCATAATTACGACTTAGTAATTGTTAAATCGTAATTATGACTTATATTTCATAATTATGACTTATTATTAAGTCATATTTATGACTTATATGTTATAATAATGACTAATAGTATTAAGTCATAATTATGAGATATCCTTAGTCGTAATTACGACTTAATACTAAATCGTAATTATAAGATATATATCATAATTATAACTTAATACTAAGTCATTATTAAAAGATATAAGTCATAACTATGACTTAATAACAAGTCATAATTGTGACTTATTTTTTTTTTAGTTTCTATTATGTCCCTTTAACGCTTCCGTACTCGGCGGACTGTAGGGTGGGCGTCAGCAACACCCCTCCTCTCCCGCTCAGCCGCTGACTAACGTCATGAATCTAGTAAAAAAGGGGCCAAAAGCAGTAAAGGAATTCCTAAATACATTCTCAAATTGCCTTAGAATGCAGGACAAAGCATATTAGATTTCTAAAAATTTCCCGGAGGCAAGCCCACGGACCCCATCAGTATATGCCCTACCATTGCGATAAATTATGGGGCATTGCCAAAGGCCTGGCCCGGGCCCTTTTGGCCTTCCCCATGCCCCGCCCCCCCCCCCCCCCATCAAAAAGGAGGGTGTGGTCCCACTTTCCTCCTCATCGCTTCCCAATCTCCGCCCACAATTGGGGTAAGTAATGGGTGGTAAGGTGATGGTATGGGTAAAGGCACAAACAAATGATTGGTATGAAATTTGAACACTTTGCCCATGATATTTTTGCAAGAATTATTGATATCATTGACTTAAAGCAAGGCTGGCTAAATACAGTGGTGTGATTCGACGCTTATCCAAATCCAAAAGAACGAATGAAATGTGAATGCAAATACGAAGAGAATTTTTAACTGTCTTTTTATTTACTTTTAATTGGGGCCAAACTGTGTTCTATGGACAGAAAGCTGGCAGTTGTATTTGCAATGAAATAAATAATCAACTCGGCCAAAAAATACTTGCAGCTGCATAGAAAGTGTACCATGCAAACAAAGTAGTTCACCAATGGTGAAATTTAACTTGGTTTCGGAACTTGCTAATGGCATAATATTAAGAACACATCAAGTGGTTTGTTCAAGTTATTGGGGGTCAAGTTGGTCTTTTGGTGGGGGTGGCAACTTGAGAAATTCGATAAGCCTTCGATGGACGCCATCTGACTGAAAGAGGTGGTACATCTATGACTAAGATGTACGTGTAGGCATGCAACTTTTATGGTAGTAAATACATGTATTGTATAGTGGTGGATGATCAGTGGCAAACATACCCCTTAACGAGTAACGGGCAATGCGATATATTAGGGGACATTATCAATAAAGACCTACCCCTGGCACTTCAGGCCTTCCCCATGCCACCATCCCCCACCAAAAAACCCACCCCTCCCCACTGAAGAGGCGACGCGGGGTGTCGTCTAAAGTAAACAATAGAAAGGCTGGCTTTACGACCTGCAAAGCGACCACCATCGTCAACTACATGCTGCATATGTTCGACGAAGGTAAATGGTTAACCACACTCATTGACCACGCTCACCTTGATATATTGACTAACATAATAGTATAATCAGTCACTCCATACAGTACGTCACGGTAATAATTTGATAATGAACATGTTAGGGGTTTAAGTCCCTCCAACAAAGGGCATGTCTACTTTGCCAAAATCGTCTGAATAGATTCTGCAGACCAGGCGCGTAGATGTTTCTGAAACGGCTACGACTGTCGACGTTAGCGCGTCAGTGGCAAAGGCCGAATTTTAGCCATTATATCTGATCCGGACACGTCATAAGTTGCATAATGTATTTTAGTTTCTTGCCTTGCCTAACATTATTATGGCTCCATAGGCCGCGGAATGCTTTTCAAACTGGGGGGGGGGGGAGGGGAGGGGGGGGGGTTCAACACCAAAAAGGGGCACTTGCTCAGAAAAAAAGGGCACCTTCCGTCGGTGTGAAAGTGCGTGGAGAAAAAGAATATAAGCTTATCCAAACTCAACAGAATGAACCAATTCTGTGAATGCAAATACCAAGAGACTTATTAACTGTCTTTTTATTTACTTTCAATTGGGCCAAAGTGTGTTTCATGGACAGAAAGGCAGTGGTATTTGCAATAAAATAATAATCAACTCCGACAAAAAAAACCGCTTGCATCTGTCGCCGTTCCGTTTGAATTGCTGATGATGCAACTTTGTCATCAGAGAAAGTGTGCCTTGCAAGCAAAGCACTAGTAGTTCACAAAAGTTGATATGTAACTTGGTTTCTTAACTTTCTAACGGCATAATATTAAAATACATCAAATGGTTTGTTCAATTTTTTGGGATCGACTTGAGACATTCGATTTGCCTTCGATGGACGCCATCTGATTGAAGGAGGTGCTACATCTAGCCTATAAGATGCACGTGTCGGCAAAAACTGTTATGGTAGCAGTAGCGGATCTAGGGGTGGGCGTCAGCAACACCCCTCCCCTCCCGTTTCGCCGCTGTCTAATATGAAACTAATATAACGGGGCCAAAAGCATTAATTTCTCACTATATTCTCAAATTGTCTTAGAATGCAGGCGAATACATCGTAGATTTCAAAAATTACCAGGAGGCAAGCCCCCAGACCCCATCAGTACGCCCTACCACTGCGATAGAGGCCTGACCCTGGCTCTTCTGGCCTTCCCCATGCCCCCCTCCCTCCCAAAGAGGAGGGTGTGGTCCCACCTTCCTCCTCCCCGTTCTGGAATCACCGCCCAAAATTGGGATTAAGTAATAGATGGTATTAAAGGTGATGGTACATGTGTAAAGGAACAAACAAATGATTGGTACGAAATTGGAACACTTTGCCCATGATATTTTTGCAAGAATTATTGATATTGTAACGTATTAAATACTCGAGCGGTAGTAAGGCCTTCCTGAGGGAACGTCTGTTTCTCTTACTTTATACAACACGTTGATAAAACAGACGATGAACTATTCTTCTTGATTTCGAAATGATTGTTCATTCCTTACTCTCTTTGATTCTCACTTGTATTTAA